ACATATGATTGATGTATTTACTTGGATTAATTCCGTAAATTGAGTGATTATTATGTGACTAGCGGATTAATCGGGTGGATTATGTGGGTGGATTGTGTGATTAGCTAGGGTTGGACTCGGGCCGGGCGGCCCGAACTGGCCCGGCCCGGTCACTGTTTGAACCGGCCCGGCCCGGCAGCCCGGCCCATGGGCGGTTCGGATCGACCCGGCCCGGTGGCTACCGGTTCCGGGCTCGGGCCTTCATTTTGGTGAACCGGCCTGGCCCGTTCGGGCCGATTTTGTTTTTTTGATTTTTTTTTTAAGTTTTTGGGTTGGATTGGGTATTTTGGGCCATTTGAGGTGGTTTGGGGTTGATTAGGAAAACCAAAAAAAAAATTATATAGACCGAACCGGCCCCGACCCCGGCCCGGCCCGGCCCGAACCGGAACCGGGATTACCCGGGCCTCCCCTACCTTGAACCGAGGCCCGGCCGGTTCAAGGCCCGAACCGGGCCCGGCCCGGAACCGGTCCACACCTATGATTAGCAGATGAACACAAATAAAATAATCCTCCCTCCGTTCTTTATCAAGGGTCTTTTTAGGCTTGTGCACGGATTTTTAGAGAAAAAATAGTAGGGATAATATAAAGTAAGTATGGTAAACATATTCACTCTTCTTAATATATTCTCTTCTTAATTTAAAAACCCAAAAATGGAGTCGTAAGACCTATTACAGTGGATCTATAAATGTGAAGATATGTGTTGGGATATTGGGTCCAGGCCCAATATCCCTAGGCCCAAATCCGGGAAGAAGCAGCAAGCGGGGCCCAAATCCGGAAAGAACTCCCGAACGGCATTCGGGATAAAACTTATACTTGGAACATTCTGGGAAACAATTATGCCAAAGCGTCAAGGCCAGATATCGACCGGTGTTCGGGATACTTCCATCAATTAGATCACCTATGGCAGAGATACCGATCGGCGTTCGGCATATGTTCATAAGCAGGATAGCACCTATGGCGGGGCCCCACACACCGAACACCCTACCCGAGCGGGCTATCAGCAAGTGGAAGCCGCATTTAATGCTGGATCATGACGGCAGCAAGTGGGGGCGTGGGTTCTTACATGGCAGAGGTGATAGCCTACCAGATTCGACCACGTGTCCACCTTACCCATCCCCATTTTAGTATAAATACCCATGTTTAGATCATTGTAAAGGGTTAGCATTTTAATACTCAGAGCTTAGCAATAGATTTACACCTTCTATCCTTGTAATCTCATATTCATCTACCGTTCGGGTAGTCTCAGTATAATCACATATTTATTGAATATCGGTAAGCTTTTGAGTTGAGCAAATATCTCACTGTTTTATATTTTATACACATTTCAACCATACCCAATATCCCTACAATATCCAAGGCTTGTGTTGGGCTTTCGGATCTTCGGGAATAAACCTCAACAATATGTAAACATAAATTTATTTACCAAACTTAATAACTAAAACGAAATTATGATCTAATAAGATCCATTACATTGGATTACATTTTAATACTAAATGAGGTATTTAACTAAAGCATATTTTAACTTTCTTTTAAACAATTAAGAATGCTATTTGAAAGTTTATATTAAAAATTAAAAAAAATTCTAAAATATAATCAAATGAGATTTGATGAAATTATATATAGTGAGAAAATTCATAGTAACAAACATTTGGACTAAAATTTCCTACAATTATATTCATAGTAACAAATGTAGGTATGTACATACTTACCTACCTACTTATTTACCTACCTACATACTCACATACCTACTTACTTACTTAACTACCTACCTATTTGTCTGTTGTCTTACCTATATCCTTGCCTCTCTGCTTGCTTGCTTAATTACTTACACACAATGGATGAGTGGATCGGGTGTTGAGTTAGTTGAATGTTCATTCAGATCCATCATCCAATTATCATCCATAGCTTTTTGAATTTGTTTCACAAGTTGTAGTCGTACTTGTTCATAACTCATAAGTGGTTTAATCCTCCTAAGTGAGGCCCTTCTTTGTTCCAAAGTATAAGAGTTCCATTATATTTGACTGTATTAATACATTGAGGTGCAATGCTTCGCGATTAGAGATTCTTTATAAGTTCCCAATGTTTAATACTCAAAATTTGTTGAGCTTTGCGATCATTTGCCAAACCCTTCAGGCTCTTGAGTCGTTTTATAGCTTCGGTTGATTCTTTGTGTCCGTGAAATAAAGGAAACTCCATAGAATATTAAAGGTTGAAATAAAAGATAGAGTTTTTACCCCTAAATAGGACCAAATTATGATCAAAATTCCTAAATGGGAGTTAATGTTTTAATTTACCTAAATAGGACTCACTATTCCGGATCTACCCCTGCAGTAATAAAACCCCAGATCTATCCATCTTCCCCATCTTTTCTTTATCGGGAATCTTCGTTTCCGCATCGGCAAACTCCGATCCTCTCCCATGGAGTACGGAGACTCGATCTCTTCCTCGCACCACCCGGCCAGCATCTCTACAGGTAATCCCCTCCTCCTTTTTTCTCTTTCTCTTCCTACTTCTCCTTCTCCTTTATTCCTTCTCCTTCTTCCTCCTTCATCCTCCATTCCTCCTCCTCTATTCTTTACTCGTTTTGCATTATTAATATTTTCTGTTGAACTTTTTCGAATATATTTTCGATTCTCAATGGAAATTGTATTTATGGTTTGAAACTTTTGAATTCATTTATGTATGAAATTTTGAGACTCTTGTTCAAAAAATTCAGACCTAAATTTTAGAATTGTGTATCTTTATCCGCTTGTAAGAAATGCCACATTTATGGCATTTTTTTATGGAGATGTAAATATTGCATCTTTGAAATGCCAAATTTTTGGCATTTTCACAAATTGTGGTATGTTTATGGCATCGAAGTGATCTTGTCGGCAACATTGCTTCTTCTTTTTTCTTCTCCTATTTCACATTTTAGACTCTGAAATGTGAAAATGTCTTAATTTGAGATCTGAAAATTCCATATTTTTACATGTAGAAATGCCATTTTTTTTGTCATTATTATTATTATTATCATAATGGCAGTTTTGCCCAGAAATTGATACTATACACTCCTTAGGAGGTAGCTGTGACTAAGAAGATGCCAACATCTCTAGAGAAGAATTTAGATCTGGCTCCATTCTCGTTGTAGGAAGGGGTAAGTCGCATCACCGGAGGTGTGTAGCGGCAATCTCCGGTGGCGACAGGTGCGGCGGGGTCTCACTTGGCTGCAGCGAAGATCTGGCAGCGGCGGCTGTGCACAGCAGGTACTGAAGGTCTCTGCCGTTTCGGGTTCACGCGGGGTTCACGCGATGTGCATCGTGAATGTGAATGAGGCAGCTGGGGAAGATTTCATTAAGGGCAATATCGTCCAATCAGTTGATTTTTAGTCCTATAAAATATAAGAGTCCTATTTGTGCATTTCAACGTTGATTTTGTCCTATTTAGGGAATTACCTCAAAAAGATATCGAAAGCTTGATGATATAGATATACTCCGTATTAGAGATCGATATTTGTTGTGTCTAAGTCTAACATTACTTAATCTGTTGCTCGGACGTTGTTCTTAGCCAGATTTAATGCTTTGCCTCCATTGCTTCGCATGTGTTGATGATAAGTAATATAATTTGCTCATTTATTCTCACTTATCTGTTCTCCTTGCAATTACTTGACTTTCATTTTCTTAATTTTAAATATCTAGATACATAAATATAGTTATAATACAATGTTTCATAACAATTTGTTCCTTTCTAATGATGTTCAACCATAAATAAGTTTCACACATTATATGGGTGAACGAAACATTGATGGTCAAAAGATAAAAAATGCTACGTACTATGTAGTAATTAAGAACTTTTCTAAGTAAAATACCAATCAATAAAACTACTACATATTCGATCAAATTGAGATCATAATTTAGTAGAGCTGTAGAGATCATAAGCAAATGAAATATTCATATACTCGTTACGTAAATATTTGTATAGAATACTCTTGCAGTAGTAATTCATTGACTTCATTTACATCAATTTTCTTCTGTCTTCCTGGAGGGATGTCAAAACTCTATCATTTATATATACATGGGATTTTGTAGAGAATTGGATCCTTTTTTGCTCTTTTCCTTATAAATGTCAAAACTCTATCATTTATCTTCCTTAAATAATTATGTGCTTTAGGTGCTATCATTTTAAGACACACACAGTATGTCCTTTTTCAGTCATTTAGTTTTCGTCATTCTCGAAACTGAGTCAATGTCTCAAGGAACACATTGGTTCTAAATTATGGTTAAGTACCAATTATGTTCTTGCGAGAATGTGTTTTCAATCCATTACGTAACAGTCATAAGCCCTCCGTCGAAATTCCGTCAAAATGAAGGTGATTTGTCACTTTTTTTTTGAACAGGACCTGTCACTTTTTATACATCCAGGTCGCCTTTTTTTACGCCGTTGAGATGAAAACTATGCAAACATCTAGGACATATCTAACTTTTGAAAAAAATGAGTCTCATGCCTACATTTGAAAATGAGCACAACCACAAATATCTTTTTGTATTTATCCATATTAATTAATACCATTTGTGGGGATGTTTGGTAATCCCCACTTTCAGCATTGCAGTTTTGTCAATCATTTTTTTACAAAATACATAATTTTTTATGCCATTATTTTTATCCAAACAATTGAGATTTGAGTTAATTTTATGGTTGAACTGACTAAAAATGCTATAGAAAATCATTGTAATTGTTTTCAATTTTTTGATTTTATTTATAAAATATATTTTAAATGCAATTTTTTTTTTCAAAATTTTATTTATAAAATATATTTTAAATGCAATTTTTTTTTTCAAAATTGAGCAGATTTAGTTCGTCAATTACTTAGGTGGATTTCAGATTTACGGATTTACCCAACACCCCACCTGTACGAAACGGCTAGACAATTAGCAAAACGCGGCTTAGAATACTTAAGCACTCTTTTCTCTTAAAAATATGTCATCCCTGATCACGAAGGCATTTTCTGTCCGCGGCCCCCGAGTCAACCCAGTGAACTCGCTTGCATCTCATCACAATCCCGGCACTGGTAATTTTATCTGTGCGCCTTTCTGTTGGATTAACTATTCTTCTCGAGTGGCTTCTTAGTGATCTAGGGCTGTTGGATTGCAATATGTACTGCTTTAGTTTAATGGATTTCAACGAAACATCTTGGCTATATTTTTTCTTGTAGGTGAAATTGAATCGCGCAAGAGATGAGTGACGTGTTTGAAGGTTACGAGAGACAGTACTGTGAGCTGTCCGTCAATTTGTCTAAGAAATGCAATTCTGCTTCATTTCTTCCCGTTGGAGGTATAAATTCTATTTGATCTGTGATTAGCTTCTGAAGATTTCTCCCATTTCAGTTTGTTCCGGGTGTTTAGGATTACTTGTTCTTCATACGGAATGAGTTTTCCATAAGCTAGCACCCTAGCTTCTAGCAAACTGATTTTTTAATCCTCAGGAACCCTTTTAAATTAATTTTTGAAACACTCGGATTCTGCTTCTAAGAGCTCTTTGAAGGAGCAAAAGAATAACATGTTAAAAAAAGAAGTTCCTTCTGCTATATATTTACAAATTCAATGAGATTACATTTTGTATCTTGTATAACTTTTAAAGCATATCTTCAGGCAATAATCTTTCAATCTATAATGGCAGGAACATTCACAATTCACACATTATTGATCTAGTTTATAGTATATCAGTTTTTTTAACCATCCTTTTGTGGATTATTACTATTTTTTCCATTGTCATAAGAAGATCCAAAGAAGCAACATATATCTGAGCTCACAGTGGGGTTGGACGAAGCGGATGGTCTGGTAACTATCATTCTAATCTCTAGTGTTGCTATGCAAAGTTCTATCATGGTTTAACTCATTGAGGCAAACATGCATTTCCTCAGATTCGAAAAATGGACCTTGAGGCAAGAAGTTTGCAACCAAGTCTAAAAGCTGCTCTTCTTGCTAAGCTAAGGGAATATAAATCCGACCTCAACAAGTTGAAAAGGGAAGTGAAAAAGCTAACATCTAGCAGTTTCGATCAAACAGCCCATGAAGTATTGCTGGAGTCTGACGTCGCAGATGTACATGCAGTATGCAAATTTGTTCTTAATTGTACTTTTCTTTTCTCCAATCCTTTAAGGTCTGTTTATGACTCAGAAAATACAACGGAAGAAAATAGGAATGAAGTTATGGAGGAAAATTTGAAACTAACATGATGCCGGGAAATCTGGGAAAGTAAACGATAGGCTAAAGCTCAACTAATATGTTTAGATATATCTTATACTCATTTTTTTTAATTTGTCTGTTATATAAAGACGAAGCAATATAAGAAACTATTCGTGTTGTCTTTTCCTGTGCATTTTCCAAGGAAGAATCACACATATGAGCATAACTTTCTTCAACATTTTTCCCCAGTGTTTTTCCTGGGTGTGAGCATAACCTAAAGGGTCTGTTTGAATAGGGAAAGAAATTTGGTAGGCAAGTATAGGATGAATTTGGAAAGAATGTAAAATTGTAAGGCTAAAGGATCAAATAGGCCCTTGAACTGACTTAAAGTGTTCAATTAGCCCCTTATATAGGAGGTTCTGCCTGACCGTCGTCAATTGGGGAGGTTCCCGGTGGAATTCTTTGATGAAATTTTTTGAGCATCTTCTTCATAAAGTCTAGTTTACTCATACCAAATTTCAGCTAAAAATCAATCAGGAAGGCAGTCAAATGATTTTTTGAAGATAATTGCGAAGTTAAACAACACAATACATTTTGGAAAATCATTTGACTGCCTTCCCGGTTCAATTTTTAGCTGAAATTTGGTATGGGTAAACTAGACTTAATGAAGAAGATGCTCAAAAAATTTCATCAAAAAATTCCACCTGGAACCGCCCCAATTAGCGTCGGCCGGGAAGAACCTCTTATATAAGGGGCTAATTGAACACTTTAAGTCAGTTCAAGGGCCTATTTGACCCTTTAGCCAAATTGTAATTATGTAAATGTAGGAGAAAATAAACATTGGTTCAAACTCAATAAATTTATATTTAAAATTTGTTTGAACTCATTTAATTTTTTTTATTCCTGTTATATGGAGACTGGAAATCTAGCGTATGTAAAAAAGTTACATGATTCATACTTAGTTTTCTTTTGCATTTCCTGATATAAACCAAACACAACAAAATAACTTTGCTTATCTTTTTTGGGTTTCTCTAGCACTTTCAAGGATCCAAACATACTCTAAATGTAATTGTTGCAGGGTGGCACATAGAGATGCAGCTAACTTAAAAACTAATCATTTTTCAATGTTTATCAACATTCATTGAAACATTAAGAAGAGAGATGAAGTATTGTTATATTAACTATTTTTCATAGTCATGCCATAACATTAAATCATTTGTGTAGGCTGGATTTTTCTGTTATATGATGATGATCCTGATTAATTGCAGGGTTCTTCAAATCAAAGGGAGCGGTTGGCAATGTCTACTGAGAGGCTAAATCAGTCCAGTGGAAGAATCATGGAAAGCCGGAGGCTGGCTTTAGAGACTGAGGAGCTTGGTGTCTCAATTCTTGAAGACCTACACCAGCAGCGTGAAACACTTTTACATTCCCACAACCAGGCACGTCACGCTTACAATTTCAAACCCCACTGTAGAGTTTCTTTGAAACGTGGAAAATGCTAGGGAAATTTAAGAGGAAAAAATGAATGAGAAAACAAACATTGGTTCAAAGAAAAAAAAAAAAGCTACATGTTGTTTATAATTTAGGGTCAGCGTGAGTATTCCTTGGATTTACCGAGTTAAAACCAACACAAAAGAGCTTGGCATCATTTTCTCTCAATCCTTACTATATCCAGGATCTGAACACACCTTTAATGATTATTGACTGGGTTTTGCTTATATTTGTGTTTATTGAATATCTCCAATAAACTACAGTAGGAGTTGTCTCATATATGGCTATGATTATCAAAAGATTATGTGGCTTTGCAGCTTCACGGTGTGGATGAGGCGATTGACAAGAGTAAGAAGCTCTTGACTTCCATGTCCAGGCGCATAAGTCGTAACAAGATGATTGTTGGAGCTGTGATTGCTGCCCTTGTAGTTGCCATCATCATCATCTTGTATTTTAAGCTCTCTCATTAATTGCAATTTTCAGTGTACATAATTCCTGTGATTGTACTTTTATATGCTCGCTTGCTTGTGTATCCTGAATTCACCATTGCTTTGGCTTACACAAGTTTGCTGTAAAATATCTTTGGAGTTTGGCTTTGTTGAATCCTGGAAAATATGAAAAGTGATGAGTTTTCGAGGCACCGGATTACGCAGATGACATGTTTGCTTGCTTCATGCATGTAGGAAATGAATACTTTTTTGAGATTCTGATAATGGATTGCTTTTGTTAGTAATGTCTCGGATGTATTGGTTATGGTAAACCATTATAAGTTCAAAACCATTAACCACACTTGCAATACAAGGAACTTAGCCCCCTGGGGCATATATCCAATTCCTTTCATTTTGTTTTGAAAATAGGTTGAAAACCAGAATCGAAATTGGATTATAACTGGAACCAAAATTGTTTTACTCGGTTAAGGTTCTAGTTCCACCCTTACCTTACTTGGTTGGTCTGGGGGCTGGAAATTTACTGGAACCGGCTGGGTCCATGCCTATACACAGCAGGGGTTGGCCGAAAACTAATTGTCTTTGAGTTCCTTTATGTGTCGTCTCTCAGCCTTGGCCTAGTCTAACATTGCCCTAGTTTGGATTAAGATGTCTTTCCGGATTAAATTAGTTCTTTTACTGAATGATTATGCTGCGTTTTCAATTAATTCGTAAGGTAAACACAACTTAATGGCTGAACGATTAAGTCGTTATTCTCATTAAATCCATTAGGTCAAAAGTAAACAAACTCCCGAGCCTTGTCCAATTTAACTTACACTTGGTGTTTTACATCTTGTGTTCAACCTCATTCACACCATGCCTCATGTCCCAAGTCTGTAAAGTCCAGTAGCTTCTTTGCAACAACCGCCTTGAGCGGACATGAACCGGTTCTAGACTAGTCGATTTCAGATCCCAAAATGTTCCTGCCAATCCGTTCTTGTAGCGTGTTGTAGGACCCAAAACATACTTGGACTGCACTTGCTTTGGCTTTCTCTTTAAAAGGCGGTCTTGGAATCGAATCAAGTCCACCTGATCATTGTTGGTGCTCTATGGTTAACGACAATCCAGTCCTTCAAGAAGTGTACTTCAAGAAGTGTAATTATACACATTCACTCAACCCAACTCAACCCAACACCGTCAATATATTCACTCAGCACATTTTTTTTTAAATTGAATGTATTAATCCTACCTTTTTTACAACACATCATTTATGTGATTATTTTATTTTTATCAATAATTATGATTAAAAAACCAAATATTCCGATGTTAAAAACTAAAAAATATGAATTAGCAGAGCCGTCTAATGAATTTGGAGGTCCCGGTTCTAAATGACGAATTGGGGCCCCTAAAACAAGAAATGATACAAAATTTAATAAAATACAAATAGACTACACAATTTAGTGAAATATAAGTTTTGTAATGTTTCACAAATTAGACAATCTAAAAGTTATAGACCTTTCGAAATGTGGAATAATACATAACATTCACAAAAATCGACATATAACTACTACTACATACTAATTTTTTGGAGGCCCCTATAAGAGTGGGCCCGGTGCCAAATACCTATTGCACCTCCTAAAAGACGGCCCAATATGCATATGAAAATCCATGATCCTCCTAGGTTAGGCGAAGGAAAACCCAACCGCATGGAAAGCAAGGAAGCCGCACACACCTCTCTCATCCACTCTTTCCTCTGCGCGCGTCATTGTTGATGTCCCATCTTCTATCTTATGTGTATGTTAAGTGAATGGGGCCAAGGTGAATGTGACGGACACACCCCCTCGGTTCTTTGTAATCATTTTATGACCTCTGTATACAAAAAAAGTGGCTGCGTTGCACCTATTTTGTGATGAAAACCTCCCATTTGAGGTTTTCATCCCTCATAAGTGTGGACAGGCTCAAGACTAACTAACACCGTAACACATACCCTTAAAACAAGAATAATGGAAGGACATTATGAGACTATTCAATGCTCTACACAAAATAACTCAAAGTTTGAACAATGAGGGAGTACAATTATACTCCATATGTGTTTTTCTTATTTTGGATAACTTTCAATAAATTATGATTGATGTTTCAGTTTCATAAATTCATTTTTTTTGTAAACGCCCACAATTAACTCACAATGCTATTGTTTTGACTAGAAATTAACTAATCTAAGAATATGATTGAAAAGGTCATCGAACAAAGCAGGATTGATAATGATCGAATTGAAGAAGAAATATAAATTTATTGATAATAAAAACATTGAATAGCTTGAATAATATATTCGAATACAGAGTGTAGAGTATTTTTGATATATGTGATCGTGTGTTTACATTTACATTGGCTATTCTATTTAAACTAAAATTCACTCCCCAGATCCTTGGTTCAATTGACCGGCCAAATAGCCCTCTCCCAATTGACCTTATCTCCACATTTTATCCTTCCCTTATGCTTATGGGTGGACTCGGCCCGGTTCGGGCCCGGTTCGGGCCTGGGCCTGGCCGGGCCTCAGTTCAGGAATGGGAGGCCCGGACCGGCCCGGGTAACCCCGGGTCCGGGCCGGGCCTCGGTTCTATTTTTCTTTTTGGCTTTTCCTAATTAACCCCCAACCCTCCCCCTCACCCCCAAACCACCTCAAATGGCCCAAAATACCCAGCCCAACCCAAAAACTTAAAAAAAATTCAAAAAATTCAAAAAACAAAAAACTAATTTGGCCCGGACCGGGCCCGAACCGGCCGGGCATGTTCACCAATCCTAGGGCCCGAGCCCGAACCGCATTCCTACCGGGCCAGGTCGACCCGAACCGCCTCCTGGACCGGTTCCTGGGCCGGGCCGGTTCAAACAGTAACCGGGCCGGGCCACCCGGCCCGAGTCCACCCCTACTTATGCTTCGTAGTTATCCGCATATTGCTGGGCGTTTACTCCTTTATGTGAATTTCTTTCATTATGGGCCGATATATCTCTCGTGGGTCATATTAATCATGGCCCAACAGCTACTCATATAAATCATTGGATCTCCATCCCCCGATTCATATAAAAATTTTCCAAAAACAAAGAAAACATTGTTTAATTTTAGTCGACTCTCGAGTCTCCTATGTGGCTATGTATATCACGAAAGAATCAACATTTAGCATCCATAATCAATATGAGTTAAAATTTCATATTGACATTGAGGTAGTAGTTTCATGTCACTATATTTCTTGCAAGCATTCCCACCTTTTATGTTTTCCTTTTTCCCAATATTCCAGTCCGTATCTTATTGAAACTTCCCTAAATGGCTAAATACGAATGGATCATAAACAATTTCTTTAAAAATGACTGCCATTATTTTTTCCTTAAAATGTGAGTAAATTACTTTCTAAATTAGAAGCAACTACTACTTCAAAAAAAAAAATTAGAAGCAACTACTTTTATGAGGAATACATGATTCCGATTTTTAGGATAAAACAATCATACTGATAATTATACACTTCAGTCCAACTTGGAGGAGTTGGAGCAATATCTTTCTGGTTTTTCTCGGTGGTCAGAACTGAAGAACTACACGATTTGTCAGTTCAACAAAGTAGACATTCAGAGCCCGTTTGGTAGCACCAAAATCGGCTGTTTTGGCTGATTCTGCTGAAATTTATGATATTCTGGCTGGAGTGGTTGCTTTGGCTGATTCTGCTGATTTAAGAAAAAAATATTTTAAAAATATATTTTATTAATAAATTAAAGAAAAAATTATATGTAAAAATAGCTAAAATGGTCCTCTACAGTAACTTCAGCCAATACAGCCAGAAAAGTAACTCAAACCTTACTTTTTCGGCTTATTACACAATTCAGCGCGCGAAAGTAAAAGTTACGTGTTTGGTGAAAAAGTTGGCTGATAAGCCTGATAAGCCGAAAACAGAGTTCTCCAAACGGGCTCTGAGTTTGAGACAATGGATGTACTTTTTTTTCCATAGCATTTCACATTGCTATTCTCTTTTCGTTGTTCGAGACATGAAAAGTACTTATTTGTGCCATGAGCACATTTTTCATGTTTTTTTGCATGCTTGAATTAAGAGAGCATCAATGAGATTTTAGAACATCAACAATGCAAAAGCGATGATTCGATGATATTACATAACTATATACTTCCTTCGTTCCTTTTTAGTTGCAACGGTCAACATTTCACACTTACCAACGCAAGTCTTTGACCGTAATTATATCTTAATCTCTATTAGTAAAAAATCATTAAAAATCAGATTTTGAAAATTTGTAATGAGATGAATTGAACAATATTTTTAAAAAAAAATTAATTTCGTAAAATAATACCGTAAAATGTAGTCAAAGTAGAAGATTTGAATAGTATAAAATTCAACATGTTGCGATTAAAAAAACGGAGGATAGTATGTGCCAAGAGATAGAAAGATATATATAGAATAAAAAATGAAAATGTTCTCTTTTCTTTTCACTATCAATCCCGTCCCAAACCATAGGAGGACCTTGTGCTAATTACTATAACTAGCCTTTATACAATAAAAATTACACAATTTTTTTAGGAATTATATTTTAATTACATATAAATATAACTTTTTGATATCTGTATTTAAAAAAAATACTAAAATAGGGATCTTTAAACAAATAAAAGAGCATTTTGTATACTATACAGACTATTTACTACTACGTATAAGTCTATAACTAGCCTGTGGGGCAACACTTCTCGCATGCCTTAATTTATGACTCTGTTCACTATGCCTTAGTTTTTAGCTACTTTCTATTCAGTGTCAAGTGCAATATCAAGATCTAGACATAAACTTACAAGTTCATTATATAATAACAATGAATATCATAAACAAAATTCTTGGCTTACTTGTCTTAACTATACGCTTAAAGGCTGTGCAGTTAGCATTACCTTTTAATTTATATTAAAATAATCCAAAAAGAATACCTCTCCGTGACGATACAAAAAGCAATGGATGAGATATGGTTATCTTTAGAACTAGTACTATACTCTAATAGCAATTGTTGGATACAAAGCCAAGAAAAAAAAGAAAAGAAAATGAAAAAGGGAAACAAAACCAAGGAAAAAAATGAGTATAAGAAGCATTCATGTTATTGGTTGACTGAAGCAAGTGGAAAAACAAAGAAGATGTGGAGTAGTATGTAAGATATGGAGTAGTATGTAGGGGAGGGGGGGACCAATGTGTTATGCTGAAGTTCCAGATAATCATATAATGTACATGTGGCATGACGTGAATATCAATAAGATCTTATTTACAAAATGGTAGAGAGAACT